CCTGGGGCGCTCGCCCTCGACATCACCATGCTCATCGCGGCTGATCTTATAGCGCAATGCACCACATACCGGGCAAGCGTTCAAATCCTCGTACTCACCGCGGTAGAGGATGCAATCATTAGGGCATGCATGTATCTTCTGCACCTCTAACCCTAGAGGGCAGACAGCCTTCTTTGCTTCGTACGTACTCTCGGGCAATTCGTTGTCCTTTGGAAGCATATCCTTTATCATTACCAGCAACTTTCCAAATCCCTTGTCAGATACACCATTCTCTGCCTTCCATTGCAGCAATTCCAGTGTGGTGCCCAGCTTTTTCTTGTCACGTACGCAATTCGGGTACAACATTTTTTTGTGATCCTCTAACATGCGCTGCAACTTCTTCTTCTCCAAATCACTTGCGCAGTTTCTCTTTGCATCGGCAATGGCCCGACCTAGATCATCAATGGGCTCATCTGATGCCTCTTCTTCAGCTTCTTCCCGCATTGCCGGCTCAGCTTCTTCCCGCATTACCGGCTCAGCTTCTTCCCCCATTGTTGTATCATCGTATTCAGGGAACCCATGGCCAGAATAGCTGTCGTCGTCCTCTTCTTCTTCATTGTCTTCCATCATAACCCCTCTTTCTCCGTGCTTGGTCCAAACATTATAGTGGGGCATGAAACCGGACTCAAACAGGTGGACGTGAATGGTTCTTGACGTAGAGTAATTGCGACCATTCTTATAGCCAGCACATGGACAAGGCATAAAACCATCCGCCCGCTTGTTTGCCTCAGCCGCAAGCAGAAAAGTATGCACGCCCTCAACGAACTGGGGAGAGCATCAGTCATCGTACATCCATTGCCGGCTCATCTTCATTACACAACACCGAATAGACCAAATTAATACAAGTTCATACATAAAGTTCATACAACACTTAAATGCAACAAACAAATAACTCTCTAGCTAAAGCATTTAAATGCAACAACAAATGCGATCAAGATCGCAACTAAGGTAACAATTGATCCAACAGCATAATGATACCAAGCCTCACTATCGATGGCATATTTTCTAATCTTTCTAATCTTCAAGCGCATTTTCTCCTTCTTGATCTTGTGATCATCGATGACATCGGCAACATGCAACTCCAATTCCATCTTCTCCCCCTCAATTCTTTTCAATTTTTCTTTCAAGTACTCGTTTTCTCTTTCAACTAAATTTAACCTCTCGACAATAGGGTCGGTTGGAATTTTCGGTTCACATACCTCCTAGATAAAAATATCTATGTCAACTTGATGGGCATAATTTGTCATAAACACGAAATGCAACAAATAGTTTTAAAAGAGAATATACCACATCCGAATCATAACAAGGATGAGGGCCGACGGGGACGGATAACAAAACCATGGGACTATGTATAACAAACAACGTACGGGTAAGATAATTATTATACGAGTAACTATATATCCAAATCACACAAACATCAATTTTTTATATAAAACTTCATGAACAAGAGGCTCACCACAAGGTGGTGCCGGCGACGGGACGGTGCGGGCGATCGACGGTGGTTACGACGGAGATTTAGAAGGCACTAGTAAACCACACCTACATATGCAAACTAAGTGTTATTTTAACCTCAAATTGCATATAAATCAAATACTAGCACATATATATATTTCCTCCCAAATTACTAAACTCACAAATTAATAACTATATAAAGCATTGTAAGAGCTAATATAGCAATGAGAGATGAAAGGACAAAGTTGCTAACCTTTGTGATCATTTGAATGGATGGGGGTCTTCAAATCTTGACAAATTTTGGGCAAAATGTGTGATGAGCTCGAGAGGAAGAGGGGAAGAACAGAGAGGAGAGGGGAAAGGGGAAGAACAGAGCGAGCTCGGGTGGACGAAGGGTTTATGTAGGACGACCTTTAGTACCGGTTCGTGCCAAGAACCGGTACTAAAGGTGCTGGAGGGGGCCCAGACTGACAACATCCTGCCACCACTCTCATTAGTACCGGTTCGTGGCACGAACCGGTGCTAAAGGTTAGCCACGAACTGGTACTAATGAGAGCGGCCCGGCTAGCCGTTGGAACCGGCACTAATGTATACATTTGTGCCGGCTCAAATACAAACCGGCACTAATGTGCTTCACGTTTGACCCTTTTTCTACTAGTGATTAGCTCTAAAATGACCTACACTTAGCATCTTTTACCTAGCTTAGCAACAAAATGACATTTTTACCTACCTTAGTTAGAAGAAGAAGATAAAGAAAAGGAGAGGAGAAAAAGAAATAGAAGAAAAAAAACTTCTTCTTCTTCCTCTTTTTGTTCTTCTTCTTCTAGCTAGTCTTCTTCTTCTTCTAACTTTCTTCTTTCCTAATTTGCAGATTTTCTTTAGATGAGGAAGCTTGCGTTGATGGAGTCCACTCTTCTCTTTATGCTTCCTTCTTGTTTTGATTTTGTAGGATGAACAATGTGAAACTTTCTACCTATATATGTATGTATGAATGAAACCATTGTATGCTTGTTGTTGGATATGTTGGCTAGCTATATATGTTGCATATGGACTTTTGACATGCTATGTATATGTGTTGGATGATCATATCCATATGGCAAGGATATGATTTTGTATGTATATATGTTGGTATGCTTGTCGAAAGTATCTTCATATGTGTATATATATTTGTGAAATTCTGTGAAATTGAATGAATTAAAAAAAATAGGGGCTATATAGGCAATTTGCCATCTGCTGCCAGACGGCAAAAAGCTTTGCCATCATCCAGCAGACGGCAAATCTACCACGTGTCAGCTACCTGTGCAACCTGGGGGCAATAGGCTGACTATTTGGATGCTTTGCCGTCTGCTGACAGATGGCAAAGACCATTGCATCTTTGTCGTCTGCCAGCAGACTGCAAAGCAACCAAATAGGCGTCTGCTGGCAGAAGGCAAATATGCAAAGGTCTTTGCCGTCCGCCAGGGGACGGCAAAGCACGCCGTTAACCCCTTAACGAACCTAAGCTGACACGTGTGCCGACCTAAGCTGACACTTGTGATGTCTGCTGGCGGACGATAAAGACCTTTGCATCTTTGCCGTCCGCCAGTAGATGGCAAAGAGCCCTTTGCTGTAGCCTGTTCAGCCAGACGTTTTGTCGTCTGCTGGCTGACGGCAAAGGTCTTTGCCTTTCGCCAGGCATGCCTTTGCCGTCAGTCATGGCGGACGGCAAAGCTCCTGATTCCTGTAGTGAATTCTCCAAGCTAACCTGATCATTTGAATTTCGATGTCAAGATGTGATACAATTGGTGATCTTTTGGTAAACAACAAAAGGCCACCGAAAACTCATGACAAGGTTGGCACAACGTTCCTGGTCTTTCCAATGATGTCAGGATGCAACACAATTCAATGGCGATCTTCTGCGGAGTAACACAAGGTTGATGAAAACTTATCGAGGTTGGCATGACATTGGGCATCTCCAAAAGGAACAAAGAGCTACAAAAGTGTTTGGTCAAATGATATAACTTGGGGACTGCACATTAGGGCTCCCATAGCTGATTGTGGGTCTGAATCTAATATAAGGACGCACATTATTAGGGCCAGGGGCGGAGCTACATGCAGGCAAAACTGTGCCTTAGCCCGCCCTATGCAAGAGAAAAACAGTGAAGAGTGGATGGGAAGCTGGGCTTTGAGAGCAATTATTTTGTGATTTCTTTTGGCCTTGTTCCCTTTGGCCCGCCCAACAAATTTTGGGTAGCTCTTCTAGTGATTAGGGCTCCTTCGATTCAAAGGATTTTTATGAGAATTTTGCAGGATTATGATCTTTGGGATTTTTTCTAAATTATTTTTTTATTCGTATGACTGAATACTATATATATATATATATATATATATATATATATATATATATATAGGTAAAAGTGTGTCTATCATAGCTTGCCACAGAACTAGTTAAGGCTTGCTAAACATTTTAACGGTTTAAAAGTAAGTAAAAAATATGAAATAAATAGGGAAGCCTCACTCCAATATAATAGGATGATCCAACGGTGTGATTGTGAAAATATGCATTTATGCATCCTCAGTGAAAAAAACAACCATTTCAGCTCACTGCGGGATCAATATATATTGAAACATTTGTTCTTTTCGTCGAGGACACATGCAGTCATATTTTTTCAATCCATCCGTTGGATCATGTTATATTATTCCTTCATACAACGTTTCATAGGAATTTTATTATCCACACAAATCACTTCGAAAGAATCCTTTGTTTTTTCTGTGATGCGATCAAACAAATGAAAATCTTGTAGGATCGGGACAAGCTTGACATTCCAATCTATGTTCCTTTCCTATTACCGAGTTTGTACACTCTTGTGAATCAAAGAGTCCCTTAGTAGTGTATTCAGGTAGTGTTGCTTTTTTAAAATTAGATACATTTCCAGTGTTATTTTGGTAGTTAGGCTTCATAATAGTTATATCTCCTTTGTGCATCTCGTAAAGAAGATCCATTTTGTTAGAGACAACTATTGGGACAAACAACATTCTTATAGCGATTCTGGTGTTAGATTTGAGCAATGAATTTTGCTGTGAAAAACATCTACCTAACCATCAACCAATCCCCAATCAAGGGGAAAAAAGCCATCGGCCAATAATCCTCTGTTGGCTTTGTCCATGTCATGTTCAAGTTAATAAAGCGGAACTATTTGTCTGTTTGTTTGGTTGTATCAGTGCACTTCGCCAAGTAAATGATGTCAAACAAGGGGAATGATAATCCAACAAACAAAATATGTAGGGAAAAATATATTGTCCTGATGGACAATGGACAAAATCTCTTTTATAACACACCTGCAATTTGGATACTCTGATACAGCCAACCCATTAATAAATAAATAGAATGCGTGGCCACACTAGAAACCTCGAAACTTCAACGGGACAATGGAGCTATGCATCCTGAGTTCCAGACTCCGCCGTAGACTAATAGGAGAACACACAAGATCGTATATTTCGATGAAATACACTGGTTCTCGGCTAATCTGTCACATTAGACCGGGTCGAGAATGGAAGGGGAGGCGGGGCGTTGTGAGGGCGGCCCGGTCAAGGTTGCTCATCTTCTTCTCCTTCCCCTGTTCCTTGTTTACACCTTCTTGCTGCTTCTTCTTGCCGCCATCACCGGAATCTTTAGCCGAGGAGGAGGAGGAGGACGAGGAGGAGGAGGAGGAGGAGGAGGAGGGGGATGTGTTCTTGGGGAGCACCTGGACATCCGAAGGCCCACAGCAGAACCCCATGTCTGAAGCTAGCTAGCTCGCCTCTCTTCTTCCTTTGTCTCTGACCTCACTCTGCACTTCAGCCTACAGAAAAACTTAGCTGCTCTCCGCTAACTTGTCGGTGTTGTCTGTTGGCAAACGATATGCTCCTATCGACCTGTTTATATAGTGGAAAACAGTGGCTCGATGCAAACTTCCAGTGGAAGGTTTCTACGCTCCCTAATTTAAAAATCACAATATTATATATATTTCGCTTCATTCGAGCTCGAGCACATGCACGCGGGCACCTGCACACGTTGCAACCACAACGGCCTCTCTCTCCTTTCATCGGCAGTGACGCACACACGAACATGAAAAAAGATGTCAGGTACGCATGCCACGAAGCAGTCAGGTACTGACAGGTGGGCCTAGGGACTCTTCTGATCCACCTGTCAGTAAGTAGGGTCTGTGCATCATGGCTTGGTGAATTTTCCTTAGCTCGCTGATAGGATATGATAATAATGGCGATCATGGAGCGTTGACCGGTGACTCAGCCCAGAGATGAGCTTCCTTGGCCGGCAAGGTTCTTTGTCTACACTATGGGATTTATGTATAATAATACCTCAATTGTATTATTTAACAAAAAGGTGTAAAAAAACACCCGCACGGGCACACATAGGATAGTTGGAATCATTTGAGGATCGCTCACCATGCCCTGCCACACATAGGATAGTTGTCCCAACTTTTCATAATATGCTGGAGGGGACATAGAAATATATCTAGCTCCGCAATAAAATCTTTCCAAACTGAATTCGACATCGCTCGCTTGGTCGTTGGAGGAGCACGATGACAACAACAACAAGAAGAACAACTATTGTGTCACACTTAGAAAAATAGAGGGAAACTCATGATTGTCGTTGCCGAACCAATATTATGTCCAGCTAGCGACTTGGCCCATAATGTCCCACGAGTGCAAACTAACTACACACAAGACAAGGCGACCCCAAGCGACGACAAAATCAACTCCACACGATACTTCAACACATGCCCGGCGAGGGCACTAACCCATCAGCCCCTCGAAGTGGTGAGATGGGGTTGAAGTCGGGGCACCACCATTTTTCGATGCAACACCTCCAGGTTCATCTAAATGGTGTCGTCACAACACCAAACTCTAATCCTAGCTACATGCAGAACACACTGCAAAACCAGGGTCCCCACCTCCCCGCCACCAAAGTAGCACAGGAAGAGTGTGTGACCACCGGCCTCATGGGCCAGAAGAGCTGAATATCTATAGAAAGGACATATCTAGGAGGCGGCGGCCGTGTCTTGGTTGAGGGAAAAGGGGAAATGATTTGTTTATGTGGAGTAGAATGAAACCCGCCCATTATGCCCTGGAATAGAAAGTGGATGGAAGCTGTTCGTTTGGTTTACCATGCTACTTCTCTCAACTTTCGTGATAGAGAAATGGTTGGCTTATCGTATTCTGATCAGCTAGGCCCAAGATCGTCACCGCAGACACTTATTTTGAGGTGAACATACACAAACCAGTAGGCCGAATCTATATAGGTTTTGGCCACCGGATAAAAAAAGTGGGGGTGCACAAGTGATGTATGCTTAGTCTTTGCTCGCGTGCCCTAGAGAATTAAGCCAGGAGAATAACAATCCAACAAAAAATTGGCAAAAAATGATAATTATCCCAATAACAATGAACATAATCTCTCTGTATTTTAAAAAGAAACACTTGTATTTCAGATGATCAAATACAACCAACCCATCAATGAATAAATCATAGGCTAATAGGAAAATCTACAAGATCCTATGTGTGCAGCATTGTTCTCGGTTAATCCATTACAGAAGACCGGGTCGAGAATGAAAGGGGAAGTGGGGCGTGGTGAGCGCAGCCCGGTCAAATGAAAGGGAAAGTGGAAGCGGCTCTCCTGACGTGCGGCTCCTGCCGTTGTGGCGCTGCCATGTGGGCCTGTTCCCCGATGGGTCCATCAGTCAGTGGTCGAACGGCACCCTGCCGAACGGCAGAGGATCCTCGTCCGTCTCTGACGGGTGGGCGCCTGGGCTCTCATGGTCCACCTGTTAGTCTGTAGTGTTGTGGCGCCGTTGGTACTTGCAGTCTACCGGGGCCGGTTAAATTTTTCTTGGTCTTAGCTGATACTTGTAGTAGGATACTGGTGGTCATGCAACATTGACCGATGACTCAGCACTGAGGTGAGCTTGCTTGGTTGGCAAGGTCCCAATAATAAAGACTTTCATTCGTTTTCTCTGTTTTCTAGGGAAAATGATTTATTCGTGTGGAGTAGAACCAAGACCTGCCAATCATCTCCCGTGTCAGAAAGTGGGAGGAAGCTGTTTGGTTTTACCATGTGTCTTCTATCACCTTTTTTTTATTATATAGATATAAATGGTAAGGTTAATATATTTTGAATATGAGCCATATGAATATTCTTCACCATAAACAGTATGCAATAGAATCTAAAGATGTATGTAGTCTGAGTGAGGTTTTATGTTAATGGCACACGAATTTAATGGCTAATACACTTGTTGAAATATATGAATATAGAGATGGCATGCAACAGTGTGAGATATGGCTATCGACACCCGAAAACAAGAACAAAAGGAGCACTCGATGAATTTATTTTTACTTCTTTATGGCTAGGAGACTTTTTTCACATCGAGTCATGGGGACACCGTACTATGAAAAGGGGTTCTCTCGAAAAGCCCGTGGGAATGGTTAGTGGCTATGGGCAGGTGGATCTGCTCCTCTTCTTAGGCCGACTTGAATGGAGTCGACGGATCTGAGGCTTGACAAGCACGTGCAAGGTCCACAATGACTCAATCTTGGCATTAATGGTGAGCCGCTTAATCGACTCATAACACAAATTGTTCTATTATGATGCTTTACTGATTCAGATGAGACACACGGGCTAAGTTGTCTCCGGCAGGACTTTGGCTAGGACTACAGTCGACGACACGCAATGGAGGTGTGGTGAACCCCGGGAGATTATTATATAATTTTGTTTTTTCTAGGGTTTGTTCGCGATTGTTCCTGCCACTTTTGTTTTCTAAGCTCTACACATACTGTATTTCGGAAAATCAAAATTTAGACAGTCTTTTGTCCATAACTAATAAGTTAAATGAGTCTGGAATTTTAAGTAAAAAAAACAGTTTAATTACGGAATGACACACTCCCATCTATATATTACTATCATCTCGATCTGACTTCTAATTTATCACTTCTATTTTTTTCACTATACTCTCAGCTGTCGGTCCTCTCGTCACCATTGTGACTACTCGCATTATTAATCAGGAGCTGTGTTCCAACCTGCTAATAAAGTGATAAGTTCAACCGTGTTGGGCGAAATAAGCCGCGGCGTCACTCCTGGCGCGGCCGGTGCGTGTATGGGCACGCACCGGACGTGTCGGGCGCACCGGGTCCGCGGTGCGTGTGTGCGTAGGTGTGCGTGTGTGAGTGCGTGAGCCAGCGTGTGTGTGTGCGGGGCCACGCCATGCTGTTAGCGAGCAACCAGGAGGGGTAGACCGTGTCGGGTGCGCTGGCAGGCTGTGGCGATCGCGTTCGGGTGCGGTGCGTGGACGCGGCCAGAGCGCGGAGGACATGGGGAGAGGATGGGCGAGTGGGTGCAAGGCGAGGCCTAGCAGGCCGGTGCTCGCGGGTATAAAACTCTGGTTCGCCTCTGTAGCTCGTTGACACGGTCGAGTTCGGGCTCGAGGAGAAAGAAAAGCGTTCGTGCGCTGGAAAAATCGCAGTGTCCACCACCTCTCTGAACTTCTTCTTCCTCTCTTTTTTGATCGAGCCACGACAAGCCGGAGTGAGCTGAGCGAAAGGGAGAGGAGAGCTGCGGCGAGGCAGTGGCGGTTCCAACAAACCGTTGTAGCCGAGAAAATGAAGATTACATAGTTATGACACAAAAAATTAAGAGACTTTTACGGTGCACCATACTACCCCTGGGACCAAGTAATATCGAATCATCTCAACCGTTGATTAGCTGGGTACTTTGGTCATTTTATTAATTTCATGGTTCAAGACCCAGGGCTCCGTCGCCGCTGCAGTTTCCTCAGAGGCTCCCGCTGTCCCCCGGCGCATCTGCCCCTGCTGCGTCCACGGCCCATGCGAGTGCTATGACTGCTTTGACGTCGGCACAGTGGACCTTCCCAACCGTGTCACCATATCGATGTTGACGGCGATGGCAACACCGTCGTTCCATATTCGTATGGTCAATGTGTTAGCGTATCTTTTTGCCAGGGTATGCCGTAAGTCGTGCCTCCCACCGAGTCAACTACACCGTGAGATGGTAGAACACAGATATGTGTGCAACGAGCTGCCGCTTCTCCTATCGGCGGCTCAGCATCACCAGGATGCGAGTCGATTGCTAATGGCAACGAGGTCAGGTTAACGTGTTCCGGTGAGATTTGAGCCACGTTGTGTGCTTACGTTGCTTGTGTGCAGCCGACGGCTTGTGTACACGCGTCATCGCCGGAAAACAATCGGCTGATGACGTACAATACATACTAGTGCATCTGGACTTGATCAATCAATCTAGGCGGCCGGCTAGCTTGACTAGCTTTGTACATGGTGATTTCCTCGACCAAAAGAACCGGCCGGCAAGATTCGACAACATATAATGGTCTTTGTTACATCTCTTCTCGGCTGAAAAGTACTTGGCCGGATAGGGCCCAACGGTGTCTGATTAGAGCAGGAGAAGAAAACATACGGGATTCTGAATGCATGGAGAGTTTTCGTATTTATTTTTCTATTTTCCAATTTTACCCTTTGTACAAAATATACCACTGATTTTGTCTGGTAGTATTGATTGATCTAGTCTGTTGGATGAGTCGAAATATACGTCTTATATGAAAGGGGTGGAGAAGGTTCATTTATCAGGAATCTACTTGTTGCATAATGCACATGCCACAAACGATAAAGTGGAAGCACACTCAGATGAAGAGGATGGTGAATTGATCAATAATCCCATGTCTTTTTTTGCTGAGAAATCTGGGATCAAGACATCGTA